ACACTACCTCAAAAACATGCTGGAATTGTAGGTTTACGAGGTTCTGTGGGTTACGTGGGGCACACTTCTACGCTGCTTCTCTGCGCTGATCTCGATTGATCGCGTTTAGCACAGCATTTCTCGTACTTACGTACGCGCTGGAGATCGCCCTTCTACCATGGATGACACCATCTGACAGTAGATTGCTGTGAGGACTTATGTTTAATGGATGACGCAGGTACACCTCGGCGTCGGGGAAGCTCCAGAGCTCCATTGGCTTGGTTCTCGATGATGCTCACCTGTATACACTCCGCGCATACCGTGTTCGACACAACACATAGTAGGAAGCACTCAACACTCGTTATCGCTCATTAGCCTCTTACAATAACAGCACAGCAACCACAATGCAAGACGTCGACTTCCTCATCCTCGGTGCAGGCTGGACAGCAACCTTCCTCATCCCGCTCCTCTCACACCACAAAATCACTTTGGCCGCGACGACACGAGACGGCCGCGACGTCGCCAACCATGATACCATAAAATGGACCTTCCACCCCGACGAAGAACAGTCCACCTCTGAAAAGTCTCAATTCTCGTCTCTGCCCACCGCCAAAACAGTCCTCATAACCTTTCCACTCACCTCCCCCTCCCAAACCCAACTCGTCGTGAACGGCTACACCAAATCACACAACCTCTCTTCAACACCTCAAATCATCCAATTAGGCAGTACAGGAATCTGGCAAATCCCCCAATCTTCAACCTGGGTCTCCCGTTCATCTCCCTACGACAAATCCAACAAACGCGCCACAGCCGAAGACGCCCTCCTCTCCCTCTCCGGCTCAGTCCTCAACCTCGCAGGCCTCCACGGTGGACCCCGCGATGCCCGAAATTGGGTCTCCCGCGTCGCGAAAACAAAAGACGAAGTCAAGAATAAGAAATCTGTACACTTGATTCACGGAGTAGATGTCGCGAGGGCGATTCTGGCCGTGTCAAAGAATTGGAATAAAGCGAGAGGACAGAGATGGATGTTGACGGATGGAGTGGTGTATGATTGGTGGGAGTTGTTCGCTGGATGGGCAGAAGGTGCTGAGCCGGATGAGGATGTGAATAGGACGCCGAGCGAGCAGGCACAATGGGTGTACGAGTTGATGTGGGAGGAGGATGTGAAGGCTTTGCCGAGGAGTATGGACACACTGGGGAGGTGTTATGATTCGAGGGAGTTTTGGCATACCTTTGGATTGGCGCCTTTGAAGGCGAGAATATGAGAGGCTGTGATGATTGATGATTTTGATGATGGATATTGCGATATCAATACAAAAGCTGACGGTATGCCTCGTTCTTCGAATCGAGAATAAGGCTGCTACAGCAACATCCTTCCAGCATGCCAGAAACATCATCCCTTGAAATTCGTATTCAACCTCCAAAACGTATTCTCCCATCCAGGCACCCAAACTAGCGACCTAATGCGATCATTCCACGTTCCCGGCGACTTCTCAGTTTCCCCAATCTGCGTCCCATTGCCGATAAGCCGTCCATTTTCCGGGCCCACAGAGTAAGGATTATACACAAGCGCATCCTGCACCGAAAGATTCTTATCAGACATGGCTCGAAAAGCCCACACATTCCGCCTCGTTTTCGGCGATGTCAGGTTGTATTCTTCTAGCGGTCGAGTAAAAGGTAGACAGATGCAACCTCTCTCTTGCACAGTATCGTCGTGCGTGAGAATAAGACGCCAGTCATTATCCTTTTGAGAAGGAGCACCGAGCCAGAGGAACGCTGAGATGCTATCGCCGTGGTCTTTGTGTTGTTCTTGGTTATGCTCTAACCAGCCATGATCGTTCAGGTCGATTTTGTAGCATCTGGGCCACATGGGATCGCGACCTTGAGTGCCGTATTTAGAATACGTTTGTCCGTTCTTGCTGTTGAAGCCGAGAATGATATCTTTTGCAGTTTCTAGCAAGGATCTCCACATTTCGAAGTTTGGCACGCCATTGGGGACTGTTCGCATGAAATCTAGTGGAAGAATTTGAGTGGTGTGTTCGAGAATTGTGACGAGGCCTCGGAGGTGCTCTGTTGTCTGTAGACAATAACGAGAAAGATTAGTGCTGCGATTCTCTCATTTCACGACTGACATGGTATCATGTGTTCGCTCTGAGGAATGAAGAGTGAACATACCTGCTGCGCTGTCCCCATTCTTGCATTGCAGTAGGGATCGAGCGACCAGAAAATATCATTGCCCTTCATTTCGGCATGTCGCCAGGCCATAAAGATCTGCGGGATAGGAATCTGCGGCATCTCCAGCGTGATGGAAGGTGTTGGCAAATAGAGCTTGATCAGTTGCGTGCTACCTGGGACCTGGAAATCCACTTGAATCTTCACGGTTATCGTGACACTGTCCTCGGTCTTTCCATCGCGCATAGCAGTTATCGAAGGGATGGGGATTAGAGACATTGCGAAATCCGCCGTGGTCTTGAGTTGCTTGAAACGATCCTTACAAGGCTGACCACTTTTGTCATTGGCATCGAATAGGAGCTTGTCTGTTCTCGCCATGATCTTGCCAATGAGGTTTCCGACTGGAACAGTTCCAGCTAAGCCACCCATGCGACCTGCAACAGTCTCGAAAGAGGGCAAAGCTTCGTAGGCGTTGGGTATCATGGTCTTAGTCGTAGTACATCCATTGATGGATGCTGCCAAAGGGATCGAAAGAGCACTATTCAGGACTTCCGCAACGTCCAAGCCCACAGCAGTGACCTTTGGGTCGACATGCGCGAATTCGTCAGGAAGTACTGATTGCAGAGACCGGAAGAGCCCCTTAGAGTAGTTGGCCACATCGAGTCCCGCTTGAATTTGCACTCTCGGGGTCTGCTCAACGACGCTCTGTACGATTCGTGGAACACTTGAAATAGCTTCTTTCGGCCTGAGTAGGATATCCACAGGACTGCCTGGCTTCGGGGCAAAGTCACTAGCTGCGATGTCGAACATATTTCGCAAGAACAGGGTTGGATTCACTGTCGAAGGTGTCACACCCTCGAAAAGCTTGGTGCCAGTATCCGTCAGTGTAGTCTTGTCCCAGGAAGGCTGCTCATTCGGCTTCTTGTCCTCAGCTTTCTTTTCTTCGGGTTAGAAGACCGTCGACCAAGGTGGCACCACAAATTTCAGCACGGTTTTCCGTATCTTTGGTGCCGCGCCCTTCTCGATCTCGATCCCGGGCCACCAGACCGATACAATGAGGTCAACTTGAAAGAGTCTATTCCCTCCCGTCGGGACATTATTGGTCGTTGCTGGATTTGGCCAAGGTACGAACCTATACACATTTAGCAAGATGGACTAGATTTCTCGAGATAGGCACAAATCGATACCCCTACGATTGTCCAGTCCTAGTTTCACACGTCAGTTCAATTTCGCACAATCGTATACGGTGTCGATTGCCGCTCACAGACTGCCTTCGACGATCTGATACGCTGCCCCAACATCATCAATGGAAGCCCCAGGTCTCGCCAATTGGCAGCCCTGAATAACGCCAGAAGAATTTGTCTCTCCCATCATAACCTCCCAGCGAACAGAAAGGCGTGCACCCGCAGGAATCTGAACTTCCGACATCTCATCACGGACCCGAATCGGAAGTACTGTCCCTGGAGAAGGCAATAGAGCAAGAAATGAGATTGAAGCTCCAAAAGGCAACGCCTTGTACCTGTCACTTGCCGCGGGCTCGATGAAGTCCGTGGCGTCCTGTGGCACGAGGCTGTTCCATGCTGCCACATAGTATTTGAGTTCTTTTGGTTTTATAATGTCAATTTTAGGCAGTAGGTCCTTTTCTACCGTCCTAACCACAGGCTGCAATGGCGTGACGCTCAAACCAGTGTCTGGCGCAAGTCCTGGCAGGCCGAGACCGTTAAGGCTGCTCATGGTGAAGGTTGAAGTAGATTGGAAAAGACTATAAGCCTAAAGCGTCGAGGGTCAGGCGAAGCAATCCGCTCTATGTATGTCAGCCCATGACACTAAAGATGGGTAGATCGTCCACCTTGCGGAACTGCCCATCACTTGGTGCGCGCTTAGTCGCAACTTACTGCAAGCTCGCTCCGCGTATGCTGTGTACTCGGCTTGTACATATAGTCTCTCAGGTAGCCACAATCCCCTCGCAAGCTACGTGGACTCGTCCAGGCATGAGTTCACCTAGTCTCAGCTAGCCACTGCACCTCAAGGTCAGCAAGGTTTCTTGGCCAGCAACTTGGCAAAAGACCGCCCGAAGAGAGAATGCGCAGAATGGCTGTACGCCCGCTCACATTCCGAAATTGTGGCTTGGCTATGCACTTGTGGCAAGCTGAATGCAATGCATAAGTAGCGCACGACGTTGTTGAGTTTGTGCCAGTAGAGCTGTGGCGCCACCTATTGGTTGTTTCTGCTAGTCTTGCATGTACACCTAGCACAGCCACTGCTGCGAGAGGTAGGGTGAGCAGCCAAAGGTGACATTTAGCTTCGAAAGTGTCGAGTCTGGGCGTGATGCTCATGGAGAACGCCGTGCGGCCGAAGATGATTCCGTGCCACCACGGCTCGCTGGCTCCCCCACGAGGCTGACGAAAGGAGCTCCCAAGGAATAGTGCGGATGTGATTGAGCAATTTTGCATTTCATTCTTGCCAACATGCTGCAGACCGGCAGGGCCGAAATATGCGTATATTGCAGTATTTGTCGGTCCTGAATTCACAGTTCAGTCAGAACGCCGATAAACGACACTCTTGTTTACAGTCCAGTCCGGTGTTGAAGGTTGGTTGTTCGCAGCTGGTCGACTATGAGCAGCAGCTCGTGTAGACTGAATCCCCATCGAAAAGTACTGTAAGAAGCTCGTCTGAGTTTGGGCCTGGCAGCTCTTCCAAATCAATGTCCAGTGTGTGCACTTTTTTCAGGTTCTGTACATTCTCATATCTTGGTTCCCACAACCTAGACCGATCTCACCCATCCCTCAACTTCTTCTGCGCAGGGCCTAATCGATCATCTTGCAGACCAGTCCTCTTCGTACCCGGCAAACTACTCGTCCCGATTTCATGTGCCTCTGTGCTCACTTTCCTTGCAGGATACTTCGCTTCTAGTCCCTCAAAGCAGTTCGAAGAGGGCAGCTTCGACCCTCCAGTGAAGTAAGGATGCTTGAGAGCTTGCTCTGCCGTCATTCGCTTCAGTGGGTCGTATTCGAGTAGCTTCTTCAACAGGTCCAGTGCTGAATCATCTGGAGGTGGCGCGCCTGAGGTGCTCCCGTAGTGGTTGTTCTGTAAAGTATTGCGGTACCACTTCTCGAGTGTCAGAGGTCGGTTTACACCTGGGTTATGCATGCTGACACTTGAAAGGTTGGGATACTCTGGCATGGAAGCCAGCAAGGGCCATTCGGTTTTCTTAGGGAGTCCTAATATCTCGCCGATCTTTCCCATTTGGTTACGTTGAAATGGTACTGCTTTCTTGGAGTCTTGCTTGGCTTCCTCTCCTTTAAAAATTGGTCTCAGGCTGAGAAGCTCGGCGAAAATGCACCCTACGGCCCAGAGATCGATCGCTGGAGTGTAATGTCTGCTGCCTAACAGAAGCTCAGGTGCGCGATACCATATTGTCACAACCACCTTATCGCCAGAGAATAGTGCATGTAGCGGCTTCCAGAATAGACGCGCCAGCCCCAAGTCTCCAATCTTTATGGCTCCTGAGGATGTGACCATGATGTTCGCTGGCTTCAGATCGCGATGAATCACCCAATTTTGATGCAGGTAGAGCAGACCTGAGAAGATCTGGTACATACAGGATCGAAGTGTCGATGCCGGGATTGGAGTTCGAGGGAGGAGGCTGTGGTGGTGGATAATCTGTAGTAGATCGTGCTCTGCGTACTCGAAAACCATGAAGATGCACTTCGCCTCCAGAATGATCTCGACCAGATGGATCAATGCCGGATGGCTCAGCTCGGTACATAGTGCCATTTCACGTATAGCTGATTGAGAGATGCCGGTATACTGTAGTTCGCCTTCTTTATCAGGCTTGAACTTTTTGATGGCGAACGCTTCGATGGGCCTGCCATCGGGATGTTTCGCAGGATTTGCTTGTTGGACGCCTCGCTTGTTGACAGCCTTGTATACTCGTCCATATGTTCCACTGCTGATGAAGCCAACAATATCGTAATTATCATTAATGTGCCTTTGCGGGGCATATGGGGTAGCGTTCATCCTCACGAGTGGAGGAGTATCTGGATCTGCCCCTACGTCAGTCGATTGGCAATTTTGCTTGGAAGAGCCCATACGTAGCCAGACGCAGTGTCAACAGTCAAAAGTCATTTGATGGCAATTTGATGGTGATGCTGCGCTGTTGAATCAAAGTGTTGACGATGATATCGATGGGGTGGCGTTGATGTCAAACGGAAATGCCACCCGCGAGAGCACTTACCGTCAAAAGCAGCCTGCGCATTCCTTTTGAGGCTTTGCGTTTGTATCGGCCCTACGCTCGGAGGCGCGGAAGGCAATGGAGGAGGAGCCGCCGGTCCTGGAGGACCCATGCCGGCGGACGGCGGGTTTGAAGTCATTTTCTTCAGAGGTACCTGCAGCGGCTTCGTGTTGGGCTCTGGCGACCAGGCACCACCGCCGAGGCTACCCACCGCGAGGCCACGCAGCAGTGGAGCTGCAGATCATACAGAGATGATGCAGCCTGATGGCCTAACTTAGTGAAGTGAGCGGGCTCGCGGACCGCCAGGCGTCCTGCGCTGGTAGGGAGAGAGCTGTCGCTAGCCGCTGGTTGGCAGTCGCAACGCGGATGGGATTTGCAGGATGCGGCCAGCCCAGCTGCTGCTGCTGCTGCTGCGTGCAGGCGGATGGCAATGGCAATGGCCAGGGAGCTCTGCGGTCCTGTCAGCCGGAAGAGCAAACCATTTCTTCCCATGGCAGGACGGGCGATGGCAGGAAGGATCAGCGACGGCCAGGCATGGATGGATGTCGGGCGATGAAGAGACGCGCATCAGTTCCGAAGCGCGTCCAACTGCCGAGCCGCAGCAGCCAGCTCCAGTCTCACGTTGCTCGCATGTGCATGACCGAGCCGCAGCTTGCTGCTCGCAATGAACATCATTTCACCCACATCCCAGTGACACGCCCTGCCCACCATGGCACTCCTCGGCGAGCTGTCGCCATACTTCGTCTACCTGCTGCTCACAGCAGCCCTGGGTCCTCTCTTGTTCGGCTACCACCTCGCAGAGCTCAACGCACCGCAAGAAGTGATCACATGCGCCAAACAGCATAGCAGCGCTTCCACCTTCGATCGCCTCAAGAACGCCTTCAGTGCGAGCTCGTCGAGCACCTCGCTGCCACAATGTATTCCCATGAGCCCGGCCCAGTTCGGCCTCGTGTCATCCTTCTTCACTCTTGGAGGACTGATCGGTGCCCTCTCGGCAGGTCCTGTAACAGGCAAATATGGACGGCTCAAGACCATGATCTACTTGAGCGCATTCGCCGTCGTAGGACCTCTGTGTGAGGCAGCAGCCCCTAACATCGGCGTCATGGCATTTGGACGTCTGGTAGCAGGAGTTGGCGCCGGAGGAGCAACAGTCGTGGTTCCAATATACATCAGTGAGATTTCGCCACCAGATAAGAGAGGCTTCTTTGGTGCTTTCACACAAATCCTCACCAACTGTGGAATCCTCATTACCCAAGCACTGGGACTCTTTCTGAGCAGAGGGCAAGGATGGAGAATCATACTGGGCGTAGGAGGAGCTATTGCTCTTGCGCAAATGGTCGGGCTCGTCCTCGGAGGCCAAGAATCACCCAAGTACCTCGCAGACGCAGGCAAAACATCCCAAGCAAAGACCGTCCTGCGCAAACTCCGCGCACCTTCCGCAGACATTGAAGACGAAATCCTAGCCCTCGGCGACTCCTCCACCCATGAAGGACAACCAGAAGATATCGACTCCGAACAAGCCACCCTCCTCGCCAACGACTCATCCTCCCCAGCATCCAACAAACCTACCACCACCAAACAATCCCTCGGCTTCTTCACAGTCAGCACCCACCCCGACACCCGCCCCGCCGTA